TTAAAACAATCAAACTTCCCCCCCAGCACTAAGTGCCTTCTAGGCCAGCGTATCTGATGAGCTCTTGGAGCCTCTTAGTCCCACCAGGAGTAGAACAGGCAATCAAGTCTCTCTGGGAGCTCCTTCCCCTTTGGCTGCTGATAGAGAACTAACCCCTAGTCCCAGCCCTGGGGTTTATTTATGCCCCAGGGTCCTGCCTCTTCTGGTCAGCTGACCGGGTGCAGGTGCAGACTAATTTACTGGTTATCCTGTTGCCATAGTAACCTGCACCTGTGGGCTTCTGTCTGGCTCTTAGGTCCTTCTCCCTAGGCAGCTTCTGCTCTGAAAGGAGCAGGCACCTTAGTGCCCTGCAACAAAGATAAAAAGCCCTATTTGGCCTAAGAAGACATAATTTCAAAAGAGGTAATTAAGGTTATTAACTCAGGGTGAGCATATTACTAATTCCCATTGTCAGTTTAAAAGGAGAATAACTGAATTCTAGATGTGATTTTTTACAAGAGAAGATGATGATCCTTAAGGTGTTACAGAAAACCATTACAAGAAAGAAATCTGAGGACCCACCCTACATCCTTTGGTACATTTGTGCCATGATTCATATGTTAATCACAGTGTAAATAGGAAGGGCACTCCATGTGCACCCTTTAAAAGTATCACAAAATGGGAAACAAGCCATAAAAATATTCCATATGAAAGTGCACTAGGGGGGTTGAAAGCAATTTACGGATTGAAATATCTGAGAGATGTGCTGTAGATATTCTTATAACCTTAAATAAACAGCAGCATTGAGAAATATATCAAGAGTTGTTGCAAATGTAAAATATAGAGGAAAATGTCAAGCCTGTTAGTGGCCCAGGAAAAAAGTGCTCCTTAAACAAAATAATCATAGCTAGGTTTCTGTTGACTAGAAAACAAAAATATGATGTCCTCATTCTTTAATACCATTCTCTCTCTTCCAGAATAAACTATAGTTAAATGGAGATTGTTCATGTCAAATTATTTTTGCTAGGCATGGTATATCTGACATAGCTATGTCTGACAACAGGCCAGAATTTAGTGGGTATGAATACACGCAGTTTGCATTGTCTGAGTTTCAGAAAAGGAACTGAGTGTCATGTTAACAACCAGCTGTGAAATTAAAGGCTGATCCTGAATCAGTATTCTACAATTAGGAGACAGGCCCAAAAGCATATGGGTCATCACCTGGAGTTATTTTTTTACTAAAAAACTGAGAACTAGAATGCTGTGATACTAAGAACTGATGCCAGCAGAACTGGGGAGTAGAGGAGGAACAGACAGAAAAAGCTAACAACAAAAGCAATAGGATTTGGAACCCTGGACCTGTCACCACTTTATGAACATTGTGCAGATGCACATCTCTGAGGGAAGGCCATGGTCACATACAGCAGTAGTGTCACTTCCGGTTATGCTGCAGGGTTGTGAAGTCCTTCATAGTTTCATAGTAGTTAGGGATCAGAAGGGACCTAAATAGATCATCTAGTCTGACCCCCCGCCACTGGCCGAAGCACATGCTGGGATCACATGACCTCAGACAGGTGTTCATCTAACCATCTAGGTGTCTATCTAGGTCCTCATCCTAGACAGACACATATCGAGGCAAAATTGTTGATTCTTTCTCCAACTTCCAGAAGGGATAGTGAGACAGGGGCACTGAATTTGGCCTTTTGCCTGAGAAGGGCTTGGGTAACAGTCATGATGGATTAAGATAACTGAGCTCCAGGATACAGCCTGAGCTTTGTGACTTCTGTCAACAGTTGTACTTTAACTGGGGGATCAGCAAGCAGTGTTAATCAGACATTGTTAGTAAGTGAAGTTGGCAGTTTGGTTAAATTTTTGCAGCTGTGTGTTATACAAATGTTGCTTCTTAAGTGTTTTTATTAAGTTCTGCCAGGAAAGAAGGAAGGAAGGTGTGGTAGTGGGAATTGTACTCTAATCACATTCTTGGTACCAGTCATGGAGAGTGAGCAGTACTGGTTGTCTGGTGCCATGCTCTTTTGGATTGGGTTGTGTAGTATCTGCATACAGATCAGCATTGCAAAAAGAATTTTGAGCTCTTATGAAGAGCTCAATCTCAAATGCTTTCCCTCCAGGGAGCCCTCCCAGACTTCCTACAACTACCTGGCTTACTTGTTGGAATCTTGGACCTAACTATACCTGAGTTCACAGCAGCAGTGCTGGACATTGGAGGGATTAGACAGACCCGTGTCTGAAGTAGGCTGTGTGGAGAGATTGATAGAGACATTTTAAGCTATTTTAAGTTTTACTTCTGTAAATTGTATTTTATTTTTTGTTTTTGGGTTTTTTTTTATAAAGGACTTACATGCAGAGCATTCACTGAGAGTAAAGAAACAAAAAAGACACCATGGAGGCATCTACATGAGATGCTTACTGTGGAGTTGCCTAATTAACTCAGTACTAAAGCATCGCCATCTATACATGCGGAACCATTAGTTTTATGACACGATGCACGTGTAGACAGTGATAGGGCTGGCTAGGGCATGAACGCACTACAGTGAAGAGCCTGCCTGCTAGCTAGGCCCACACAGTAGCACCCTTGTGCCTCAGATCATCTGCATCATATTAAGCAGTGGGGAGAGCAGCTCTGGGCTTGCAGGCTGACCCCCTGGGCTCCCAGCCAGCTGGGGCTGTGCAGCCCCAGCTCAGTGTACTGCAGTCCTGAGCACACGTGTAAACACTGAAGCTGGGAGCAATAAATTCCATCATGATTGGTGCCTCCTGAATTCGGGGGCTCAGAAGCTGCCGACAGTGGTGGCCCTGTCAGGGGGGGTACTTGCCCCATCAGGGGTGGCACATGCACCCCCATACACCCCCTACCAGTTGCCTATGAATTCCATCATGAACTATGCCAGAGTTTATTGCATCATGCTAATTGCACATATAGATGGGCTGCTTGTGTCCAACATTAATCAGGGACTGTTGCCTCATAAGACAGAAGTATTTTCAGCCAGGGGACTTTGGATGTGACTTCCTAAAGAACTGTTATTGGGGAAAAAAAACCCAGTTAAGAATATATACAAAAGGAAGAAAGTATGAAAAACCTCCCAAAACTAGTTGACAGCTATTAGAAAGGGAGTGCCACTGGCCAATAAATTAACTAAACCTAATTAATTATACTAATGTGAACTCAAAGGACATGTCTATGATACCCAGGAAAAATGGGAAATGTCTCACCCCCTCCCATGCAAATTGTGCAGAAGCCAAGAATTTACAGAGTAGCCAATTTATAGATACACTGAGGCTCTCTGTCTTGGGCATACTTTTTGGCATGTTCCAAGCCACGTGCCTAATTTTTTTTGGATTTTACACAACTGAGTGTTGTAAGATATGTAATACATGTACTGGACAAAATGTTAGAGGCTTTTAATTAAAAATGAACACTCATAACCTAGCATTATACAAATATATGCATAGCTGGCTTTGCTTAGATGGCTTTACTTTAGCCCCCGTGTGTCTGTCCTTATCTATTGTCTTCTCCTTCCTTTGTACAACACACTCTGGATAAGTTTGGTCTCTATTCCAAAGTTCCTATCATTATTACAAACACTAACCAATTACCTGTCAAGAATGATGTGGGGGGAGTGGGCAAAATAGAGCCCTGTGCCCCCCACATCTAGGCCCACTTGCCCCTTCCCTCCTGCGGTGCTTGGGGTCTGGGCCTGCTCCCCCACTCCCCACCGCAGCAGTCGGGTAAGGGGAGGACTGGGCCCAAGAGTGGGGAGAAGTTGGCCCACTGCAGCAGGGGTGGGTGGGAGCAGCAGGCCCGGGCCAGCCCAGCAGGGGGATGGGAGGAGTGGGCTTGGGGACGATGCAGGGGAGGTTGGGTGGGGGAGGAGCGGGCCTGGGCCCGAGAGGAGGAGGAGGTCTGCTCCTTGCCTTCTCTCACCGCTGCTGCGTTGGAGCCACTGCTCCCCCCACCACCACTGCAGTGGGCCTGCTTCTCCCCCACTCGGGCTCGCTTATCCACTGTCCCCTGCATAGGCCCCAAGCCCACTTCTCCACTCCCTCCACCACCATCACCACTGCTGCCTCTGTAGCGTGCCTACTCCTCCTCCTCACTGCTGCTGCACTGGCCTGCGTTGGCTCTGCAGGAGGCAATGACAGAAGGGGGAGGGGCAGGCTGAGGCCAGCTCCAGTAGCCTCACTCCCCGCGGTGTCCTGACCCCGTTTCCCCCAACACTGCCACCACCACCTTGAAGGAGCAAGGGATGGGGGCGCAAAGCCAACTCTGGTGGCCTCACCCCACATCATTGCCACCTGCAGGGAGCAGGGCAGGGGGGGCAGTGCTGCACCCCCCGTTCTGTCCGCTCTGTTGCCACTGCCTCCAGGGAGCAGGGCAGGGGGGGAAAGCCAGCTCTGTCCTCTGTGTTCCCGCCATCATGGCGATGCTCCACCTCCTGTCTGAATGCTTAGTCGCACTCTGATTGGCTATTTCAGTCAGCCAATCAGAGTGTGAATAAAGCGTTGTGGACAGATAGGCAGACAGAGAGAGAGATTAAGGTTTTTATAATATTAGAATGAGGAAGGAGGTGGGATGTACTTAATTATAACATTTCCAGGTCCACCATGCCGGCAGTGAAGATAATCAATATCTAAATTTAGGGAGAAGAAAGTATAGAAACTAGACATATCAAGGCCACAGGTAGTAGGAAGAAAGTGGTGGCCTTTGGTCCCACATCAGCCTTTGCACCATGGTCATCAGCCTCAGGGCAAAGCCAAAGATACTGCTGGCTAAAATGCTGTTATTTAAGTCCATGGGGTGTGTGTGTACCAACAGCAGAATATAGATATGAATAAATGCTCAAGACAAATTAATATTCTATACAAAATCTGAGAATATTTGTGAACCTTAGTAAGTTGGAAGACTCATTTATCATGTCATTTTACAAACTGGATAAGAAAACACTTTAGCTTGAAGCACTAACTGCTTCACAATATTACAGCATAAAAGGACCACAAACAGATTTCATATAAATGTGCTTTATTGCAGAGAAGGTACATTATTTACATGCTGTGACACATTACAACATAAATCTAGCAAGTATTTCATGGTGGATGCTGTAGGTTGCCAGATAATATTCTTATAAGAACCACATAATAAAGTGAATAGACTTACAGCTTTATTTACTCTACAATTCTGAGTAGCTAAAATGTTAAAAGGCAGTGTTTTCTCAGGCCTGCCCGTCATCATATACATGCAAAAGCCTCAGGAGAGCAAATATAAAAGTATTGTTTGTTTTCAGACCTATAATGCCACCAAAGCTGATGATGGGTGATTAATTATTTATATTTTAAAGCATATAATTCTTGCATAAAATATACAAGTCTATTAGTATTGGTATAAATCTAATTATTTATAAACCATGGCTTAGAAACAAAGGAGAAATGCAACTTGCACATGCATTTGAAAAGGACAACCTAGCAAATGTTTGTGACCTTGGTGATTATCGTTCTTAACAGATCTGCTAGAAAACACCTTAAATCTAGAGTTGCATTTCTTGTGGCTGAATAATGACAATGGAACTCCAGAAAAAGACTACTAAGCAATCTAGCTAATATATGCTGGTGGAGAAAATTCTATAGAACATAGAACATCATTTAGGCATAACTTAGTATGTCTTCCTTAAGCAATGTTTCTAGCAGTGTCATAGTGAAATATAACAGTTGAGTGAAGTTTGGCCCCTCTGTTTGCTAAAATACCAATTAAATTCCAAACCCAATTTCAGCGGCTGAATGAACAAGGAAAATCATCCCTTAAGAAGTACACTGATTTTAAAATAGGTCTAAATTTCACCAGCTTTTTGGTATGTGACAAGTACAATGCGGAAAACCATAGAACAACCCTGAAAATAGTGGACAATTTTTAAGTAGTGAGAGCAGCCTTCAGGGTGAAAGAAAACAAACCAAAACTATAAATTATGCAGCAGATCCTGGGTTGGTATAAATCACTCCATAATTATGGTACAGTTATGTTGATTTACATTAGTTAAGGATCTGGCCTTATTTCTTTGTTTCTAATGATCTTCCTTCTCAAGTTATGTTCAAAGCAAAATAAAAGAAAAACAATCAGCAGATGGGGCAGTAGTGGCACAAATAGGGTCATGCACAAGGGACTTCATCCTACCCCTAACACAAAAGAAAGCACTGCTGTATGCATGGGGTATGGCTTGGTATGGAGGCCTTCCTGCACATGGCTACCATGTAACAGAGGCAGTCCACTCACTCCATTGTACAGGAATGCACAAAGGACAGCATGATGTTGGGATGGGTAAAGTCATGGCAGGGCACCACGCCTCCCCTGGGCATTTGATCTAAAAGGCACAGTGGGTGTGTACAGAGTATGTCCTCCACCAGTTCCCTGACACATCCCAGCTGCAAGCATGAGAATTGTCCATGGCAATGGAGCCACAGAGCCCTCTGGAGAAGGAACATGTCTAAGACTGGCCAGCCCATGATGTCCCCTTAGTAAACTAGAGAAGGAACCTTAGCTGGAGTCCTCTCTTTACTATGCTGCAGAGTACAGCTATATCAGTGGATTAAATTGAAAAGACTGTGCACTACTCCACGGGGGCTCAGTATGTTCCTGTAGGGCTCCACATGCTTGGTGACATACAGAGTTCTATGCATTCTCAGAATGAAGCCTACATGTCTCCAAGGGAATCAGGGCTTGCACATGAGACCTCATACAAATCCCATTGAAGTCAATGGGAAAAGCCTTGCTGACTTCAGTGAGGTTTGCGTCAGGCCCTGGATAAAGTCTGTGGTCAGGGAAGAAGAACTATGTGCATACTCAGATTATTTTTTTCCTTCAAAAACAGGCACAGTCCTGGAGGCAGTGTCATGTATTTTCCTCTCCCCTTCCATATCTTGACCCAAGTGGACTCTCTGCCTGTCTCTCAGTTTGGAAAAAGGCAAGGAAATACTCTCCACATCCCAATTTGCCCAAGTCCTTCTTGTCATTAGAGTTTCTCTTAAAACCCCCCATCTTCTATGAGGCCCCAAGTCAGTTTATCAATATATATGTATGCGCATGTGTGCATTAAATAGGATATATTAAATAGGATATTTTATATCTATATATAAATATCTATATAAATATTTGTTGTTTTATACATATCTATAGATAGATAGACAGATATAGATAAAACAACAAGCCATTAAATTAGTCTTATGATGGGTTTTCCCAGTGAATTTCATCATCTCTTTAAAAAAAAACAACCTTATGACTGGGTGTTCCTTTATTTTTGCATATTGCACAGCACCAATAAGAGTCAGCAATAAATGAAGTACCAATGGTACCTTAGTAGTGCTACACTTAAATGGACCTGGCTTACTGTTATTATTATTAGCCTTTGTCACCCTCTTCCGCCCTGATCCTGTCAAGGCCTCTTTTTCACATGTTTAACTTGGAATTAGCTGAAAGTCTCTTGGTCTTGAACAGGGTACAGACTAGTGCATAAAATTAAGCTCATGTGCGGGATAAAAACCTTAGTTATTACTGGGTATTAATTTTGTATAAAATATTACATTTTATCTAACATTTACATATATACATCAGACAAACATTTCTAAGTGCTTTTGGGGTGGGATTAGATGCCCTTTTCCTTTTCTATCTTTTGATTGCATTTTGGGGGAAAAATATTTTTTTGGGGCTCCTTTTTTCTCTTTCTAATTTTGCACAGCTGGTTCATGGAAGTTTACCAGCAGGATAAACAACATACTGCAGCTCTAAACCAGCTAACCTGCAATATCTCCTAGAATTGTACAGTTGTGGTTCATATTCTTAAATGTAGTCTTTATCATTCTTGTTTTTATCCTTTAGGAGAAAATTCTCAGTGTAAATTGCTGAGAAAGATGATGTGATGGATGATAAAAGCAGGAGCTCTGAAGCAATAATATGAAATTAGCTAGGTTTGTAACAAACAACAGATAAGTTGTCCTTGGACTTACCAGAATATGCAGCTAAGATGACTTGATCTCCACTAATAACAAAGTTTATGAGCATTAACAAAAAAGGGCAAGATGAGTAACTTATCTGGTATAAAAACCCTGAATAATACAGTATCAAACGATAATTTTAAATAATAGAGAATAGAACAAAAATTCACAATATAAAATCACAGAAAAAGAAAACCAGGGTATTTTCCCATACAAGGTATGGCTTTCATAGCCAGTGAAAGCTTACTGTAATTCTATAAATAAACAAGATCTACAGCAGGTATTTTAAGTTGCAATAACAATAGAGTATCTGCAGATTGCATAAATATGTTGTTGTGTCACATAATATCAAAGTTATTTGCAAAAATTATACAATCTGGAATGCTTTAATATGAGACACAACAATGTACTTAAACATACATTAATAAGAAAATGAGAGCAATCATTATATAAAATGTATTTTTTGGGATGCATTAAATTAGCAGTGCTATCAAGGTTAAATAAGTAAAGTGAAAAGTCGTCTTTTCGGTAAGCTGCTCATTGATCCCAAATTTTGCCATCAAGACTTTCTCCATGCCATACTCCTGTTGAATCTTTAGAGTCCCAAGGGCAAGTTGCAGGCAGTTGGGAGCCTTTAGGGATAATTCTGTTAACATCTGTGGTTTTTGCCTGTCATAGCCATTTTTTTTTCCTGTTTGTGAACGAGAAATGAATTGGTAAAGGCAGATTTCATTCATTTAGACTGTAAACTTCTTAGAGCAGGGTCCATGTTCTGGACACCACTCATCACATTGTTGGCACTCAGTAAATAAACAAGAACAATATGAATAATTCACTTTGCCTATTCCCTACTATTTGTTGTGCTGCCCCCTTGGTTCAGTAATCTCCTTAGGAATTTTCAGATCCTTTTGGCCTACTTGCCCTCTCTCTTTCCTCCTTTCTGTAGTCTTTCTTTCTGAAGTTGCTACTCTTGTCAGTCCAAAACCTCTTACTTTTGAGGTGTTGCTGTTTTATTTGCACTTAAAGCAGATGTGTTCGATAAAGCTACACTTCTTTCTGCATTTGGTAAATCTGGTGTGTCATACTCCCATGGACAGACTTCGGCTCGAGACGTTAAAGGCTGCTGTAAGTTACTGCTTGGTTTATAAGAGTCAGATGAAAGCATATTTCCCTCAGAGGAAGATGCATTTTTTTTCTGTTCTCCCAATTGATTGAGCTTTTCCTTTTCTACTGCTTGCACCGTTGCTTTAGGGGGAAGTTCCTCAGATTCCCCTGCACAAGTATTTGCTGTGTATTTAACACTCTCACATTTAAAGCCAGGGACAACCTGAGTCTTGGAATTCAAATGTTTTTTCTCAGCTTCCAAAAACTGCTGCTCTTGTGTCTCCCGAGCACATGCTTCAGATTTCTCTGTGCTCTTCTGATTTGACTGCTGATATCCTTCAGCTGTCTTAAGCTTGTGATGAGATTTCCCCTTTGGCTGGGAAGGGTGACTTTTCTCTGGTTCAGAGGAAGCAATAGACACGTGTTTTTGAACTTTAGATTCAGAAGGCACAGGACCAGGCATTTGGTCATAGAGCTCCCAAGGACAAACCTCTGCAATGTCAAAATTGTCCTTATGCAGTGACTTAGCCAGGCCTGTGTCAGAATTCGCAGACATCTGACTAACCTTTTGCTGTTTCATGATTCCAGATTTATGGGGTTTTTTTGCATCCTCAGAGTGGGTAGAATTTTTCCGATGGGATTCTTTTTGCTCCCCTTTATCTGAGGCTGAGTGCTTTTTGCTGGCCTCCTTACCCTTCTGTTGAGATTTATGGGATTTGCTGTTTTCTTCCAGGCTCTGCATTTTACCAGTTAATCCCAAAGTCTTTTCCTTGGCACTAGCAATAACACTAAGAGATTTCTGTAACACAGACGTTCTTGGATGCAGGGGCTTCTTATCTGCACTTAAGTTATGTGCACTTACAGATTTGCACACCAAAGGGACAGATTCAGTGGACACAGCTTCAACTTTTTCTGTTGCTTTTTTTGTTAATTTGTTTCCACTCAAAGAATCCAGCAGTGAGTTCTCTGTACTTATAACTTCTGCACTTTCTGTAGTTAAGCTATTAGGCTGTTCCATTTGATCTCTAACATGATCATAAGTGCTGTGGGACTTCTTTAATGAAAAGACTCTGTTTTTCAAAGACTCCTCTTTTGGCTTTACATAACTGGTGGAATCCTGCGGGTTTTTTCTCACTAAAGCAGCATTTTTTGCAGAACTGTGCTCCATAAGGTCTTTATCCTCCCTAGAGCACTGCCTGGTGACTGTCTCAGGGATTTCAGTAATTCGTCTCATTATTGAACGGCCCAAGCCCTTCTTTGAGCACCGCTTTTTCTGGAGATGTGGGTTATTAGCAATCATCTTTTTCCTTTTGTAGATTTCAAGTTGTGCATACAGTTTCTTCAACTCATCCTGCAAAACAAAAGCAAAACTAATACGTGCAACACAAATCAAGGCCAGTAACCAGGCTAGGTGACCTGCATTTAGATTAGAATGAACTGAACATTATATTGAATTATTTACTATGACTTTTCTAGTGTTCGCCATTTTTCCATGTACTTAATTACAATTTTGTTATTATAAAGGTAAATTCCGACCTACACCCACTGCATAGAATAGTTATCATTTAATATGGTCTCCTGGCATATAACATGCCAGGATTAATATGCAGTCATGATGTATTTTCACTATTCACCTGGCATGTAGTGGACAATTAGGCTGTATTTTGGATAGCATACACTCAAACCAATTCAATCAGAAGTACTCCTTTTATCCAATAAAGCAGGGATCTCATTTGAGCAGATTATTAGGTTTCATAAAGTTATATATTATATGATGACAACAAATGACATATCACTGTGTCAGTGGTCATACTTCAAAACTGGCTAGAACAGCCTCTGTTCCCAAAATGGGTCATGCCAGGGATATTTCAACCCATTCAATCTTGAGTGATTCTCTTAATAGCACACAACAAAGCCCTGCCCATATTTGTGTATTTCCCTAAATGTATGTCACATGACTTGACACTACAGTCCTTGCTAGACACAAAATGGCTCATTTTGCTGTGTGTCTGCAGTAAAAAGAAATCAAACTGGTGTAGCTCAGAGTTTAGAAAAACACTTCTTAAGAACAAATTACTCTTAAAAGCATAGTAGTTACCCTGATGTCTTCAGGATCCAAACTATGTTCACTCCATGCTGAATTGATACTGCTGTTTAGGTAGGACCCAGATCGACCCATATCAAGTTCATCTTCATATGCCTCAGTAGCTATATCATCTCGAGGATTATTGCTTGCATGGGAAAACTGCAATACATATTCGTAAAAGGATGCTGCAGTTAACATATTGTTAAGTTTAATGTTAATGTTCTAAAGTATACAACTATTCTTCACACTCCATTTTACCCATCTGGCCTCAAATGGTCGCAATCACCACATAAATGTTGTTAGAACAGAGAATATAGTATAGAATATTATTTTTATAGATTGGGTACTATTTTTAGTGGTTGGTTAGCCTGAAAAGGTTTAGAGGTTCATTTTAAAAAATAATTCCTAGCTTTCTATGCTTATCCAAATCTCTAGGATTAAACTAGGTGCAGGATTTCTAGTTCTTTCAGGGAGGCTGTGAATACCACAAAAATAACCTTTGCACAGAGTTTAATAATCTTGCATATTGTATCTCTCCCATTTTATGTCTTGACCAAAAAAAGGAAGAGACAAGGGTGCAAACATGACTTATGAGGAAAGACTGAGGGAACTGGGCTTATTTAATCTAGAGAAGAGAAGACTGAGAGGGGATTTAATAGCAGGCTTCAACTACCTGAACGGGAGTTTGAAAGAGGATCGAGCTACACTGTTCTCAGTGGTGGCAGATGACAGAACAAGGAGCAATAGTTTCAAGTTGGAGCAAGTTTAGGTTAGATATTAGGAAAAATTTTCTCACTGGGTGGTAGTAAAACACTGGGACAGGTTACTCAGAGATGTGGTAGAATCTCCATCCTTGGAAGTTTTTAATACCCAACTAGACAAAGCCTTGGCTGGGATGATCTATTTGGGTATGGTCCTGCTTTGAGCAAGGGGTTGGACTTGATGATCTCCTGAGGTCCCTTCCAACCCCAGTTTTCAATGATTCTATGATTCTAAGCATTTGCGTGACCTGGCTCAGGTCTAGTGTAAGCCATCTAAACATGAGTTGGGATCCCATGTGTGCAAGTGTTGCCATTTGCTGGGAGGAGGTTCTGGCAGCCAAAGACAAGTAACTTGTGGGGAGCTGCTTGGCTTGGGGCTAGCCTGGTCAGGATTGGGAGAGTTAAAACAGCTCAGGCCCAGAACTGTGGTGAGTGGCTGGGCTTTCCCAGCCCCAGGGCTGTGCTCTGAACACATACAGGCATTCACTAGGCGAAATTAACCCTTCCTAGACTGGGTAAACCATTTGCTGTTCTATGGTTAGTTCACCTCTAAAAGCCATGGTGTGCAAATGCTCACAGGGCTTAAGTCACCCTACAAATAGTGCCGAGGTAAACTGACTTTAGCTCAGGCATGCTATTGTTAGGGCAGCCTAAACCTATGAGGCACTTGCACACTGTGGCAGTTAGATCATCCTCACTTTGGTTACCACAATCTAAACATAATGCTTAACTCTGCACCACATTCAGGACCATTAGATATGAACTTCACATGTGATAAGTGTGGAAGGGACTGTCATTCAAGAATTGGGCTCTACAGCCGCACTTGCAGATATGCAATGAGCTGATGCCTCATTTGACACAAATTTCAGATGCCTATGTTTATGCACCCAAGGTGTGCTCAATATGAAAAACAAGGAGAAAAATAGTTAGCCAATCCTACCTTAATCTTAACAAAGGTTCACTCCAAAGGGAGGAAAAAAGGTTTGAATCTGTTCCTTTTTTTATTCATACTGGTTCACTTGCCCCTATTAATATGTGCCAGAGAGTAGCTGTTGTAAACTCATTGACTCCGTGTCTTTACATCATAGCATACGGGATTTGATCTGTATAATTATAGTCACATTTAATCTCTTGTTTGCTACAGTTTGTCAAGATGGAAGGTGAAACCTCAGTGAAGAGGCACTCAGAAAATATATAGGAAAGGGAATTTTAATCTATGTCTCTGAGATATAGCTTGAGAAAGATTAATTAAAAAAAAAAAACTTGGTGGAAAATGATGCTTTTAACATGCTTTAAAAAGCAAGTGGATATGAAACAGAAAATATAAACTATTACTAAAAAACCCAAATAAATCAGTAAAAATGACTGCAGGATATTCAAAGTTTGCATCACAATCTTGCATTGGTATGACTTGTTATTTTAGGCATATTTGATAGATAAGAGCATGCACTGCTTTGAGACATCAGCAATAGTTATAAATAGCAGCAGGGTGAGCTGAGAATGATGTCAAACTTAAGTGTGAAGGTTTTTGTTTTATTTTTACCCTTAATATCCTCTTTGGTCCTTGTCCTTTGGACTATTATATAAGTAAAATTTTATGGGTCTTTACAACACCACCATTATGAAGTCAATGTTTTGATGGGATTTTCTGCACAAAGAATGCTATATTCTAATCACATCATCCAGAAATTCATTGTCACAAGAACACATCACACTGAAATGGTATTTATTCAACCCTTTTGAAAATCCAGTGCTAATGGAACAAAATGCTATATAAATAAATTTGCTTTAAAGTCCACGTGCTTGTAAAAATTCCTTTCCAATATTAAGCCACTTTTCTCTACTGCTGAACACAGCAGGGAGAAAGACAGGATTGGCAGAACCCTAAACAATGAGAAAAAATAATATACAGCAGAGGGCCCTGTATTACACCAATACGTATTTCAATTGTATTTAACAAAATATGAGAATGTGTGGTGGATGGAACTGCACACTACCCCTTTTTACAGAACAATTACAGTGTAATAGCAACTAACAGACTAAAGCAGCGGTGCTCAGCCTTTTCATCCAGCAGGCCGCATGGGCAGAGTCTGGTCCCTACAGAGGCCAGATCTGGCCAGTGGACCCAAACTGGCAACCAGGGCAGATGCAGTGGGGCCCTAACTGCCTTTGCAGAGGAGGGCCAAGAGGAAACCCAGCCCCAATCCAGCTGTGTGGGGTAAGGGGGCATATTCTAGCCCCAACTTGGCCCCATGGGCTGATCTAGCCCCAAGGGGGTAGAAGGCATGACACGACCCTGCAGGAGGAAGTGGACATGACCTGGCCCCAGCTGGGCCGGGTGGGAGGAAAGGGGGCAGAGCACAGCCCTGTGGGTGGAGGAAGGAGGCATGGTCCAGCTCCAAACCAGCTGCATATGAGGGGGGTCCAGCTCTGCAGGAGGAAAGTGGTGGTTCCCAGTCTCAACTTGGCCAGGGGTAAGGGAAGGAGGTGTTGTCTGGCCCCAACTTGGGTGGGTGGAGGGAAGCGGGTATGGTCCAGACCCATGATGGTGAATGGAGAAAGGGAAATGAGCTAGTCCCGAACCAGCTGCACAGAGCAATGGGGGCATGGCCTAGCCCTGATCTGGCCGTGCTAGTGGAGAGTCATCTCCTGGCTGTAACCCACTCTGTAGGGCTTGGGAATTTGGCAGTAGGGAGGGGTGGGCAGGGGGTAGCTCCTACTGCTTCCCCACTGCCAAATTTCCCGACCTGTGGGGACCCCTGTGAACTGGATGCCAAGGCTTTGTAGGCTGGAGGTTGAGCACCCTGGACTAAAGGGAAATAAAACACATGTTTTACCAGTGGGTTTCACAAGAATGGCAGGACTGAGAAATCTTGGGTACAATTCCAGGATCTGAAGGGGAGCATGCTTCTGCTCTGTTGCTGCCATCTTGTCTTTTTTCAAGTCCTGTCTCTTTCCTCCTGCACCCATTTTTTTATACTGTTGTCCCCCACTGACTCCTTGTCTCAGTCCAAGTCACCTTATCTAGCCTATCCTCGTTGCTTCTTTTTGAGTTTTTTATACCAAACCTAGTCTCATTTCCTAGGCAGACTTCCCATCACCCCATTTGCCCGTTCAAGCCTTCCTACACTCTTCATACCAATCTTCTTAACCAGTCAGTCCCAGCTATCCCTAGGTCCCCATTAACTCCTCACTTGGTCTCAATCTTCCCCCATCTTCCACATCTCCCATTTCTTGCCTTTTCTCTCCTCCAACCTGGGTCTTGATTTTGTCCTTTCTCTGTTCAAGTCAAGAGGACCTGAACACTAGTAATGAGAATGCAAGGAAGTCTTCCTGATCTCATTTCCTGTGTCTGATATCACAGCAGTCCTGAGACATTGGCCAGAAAAAGCCTTCCACAGTCCTGCAGCCCTGTGATAGAGCACGTTCTGCCCAGACAGAATCTTTGATACATTTTGCTGCCAAACTCTAACTTGGCTTCCACTGACCAGGTATGAGCTCAGATTTTTCAAGTTCACATGTGGGAAATTTATAAGAAACTAAATATAGGGTCTGATAATGCTGAACAGCATTAAACTATATGTGTTTTTAAGAGATCAGTTTAAGCAACTCCATTCCTCACCACTATCTCACTTCTCACTATCTGGAGAAGACTGAAGGCGGATTTGAAAATAAGCTTCAAATACCTGAAGGGCAATTATAGAGAGGATGGAGATTTTTTTTTTTCATAATAGTTGAGGACAGGACTAGGAGCAATGGCTACAAGCTTCAGAAAGGGAAATTTATGTTGGAGATTGGGGAGAATTTTCTGACTGGTGGTCAAGAATTAAAACAGGTTATATAGAGAAACTATAGAATCTCCATTTTGGGAAGTTTTAAAGAACGGGCTGGACAGACACTTTGCTGGGATACTTTAGTCAGGGATGATTCTGCCTTCAGGAGCTGCGCTAGATGACCTTGTGAGGTCCTTTCAACCCTACTTTCCTATGATCTTCCATTCTCCATTCTACAAATCTAAGGCACTTTCTCCCCCCACCAACATAGTTATGCTAACCAGAAACAGCTAAACAGATAATTTCTTTTGGATTGAGACAATACCAACCCGATTTCCATATGACATCAAGGAACCGCAATATCTTTTATTTCAGTTTCACACATTCTGACTGTAGATACTACACCTTCTTCCCAAACAGCATCTTACTATAAACTGTGGAGACTGCCATACCTTATACAGGCTGGATATCACAGTATTCACCCTCCCAACATAGACCAAAATAAACAGATTTTATATAGGGCTCCCATATTATATTCACCATATTAAGTCTATGTAAACTAAATACTGTTTTGTGAATTGTCTTACTGTTATTTATCAAGCAAGTCCACTCTAAAATTAAACATTTCTAGAAGCAAAATAAATGAACAAACTAAGACCAAAAGACAACAATAAAGTTAAACCCTGAAGAATAATGCATTGGATATTTTCTAAGCCTCTTCTTAATTCAGACACATCTCATAGCAATACTTTTAAAACAGCTTATATCCTAAATCTTGAAAGTCAGCAAGAGTCTTCTGATTTACTAATACGAACACTGGCTTATGATTTTTACACTTAACATAAAAATATTGATTTCTCGAAGGCCAGAAATAGTTTAATGGTAGAATTCCAGGAATTAAATTCAATTAAATTTATTAAGGATTTTGGCTAAAAGCCTTGCTCCTGAAAACAACATGACAAACATACAGCCATAATATAAATAAATATAAGCAAAAATAACAGAAATACAAATATAATAATAAAATTAAGCCAATCATTATAAAAACATTATTCCTACTCCTAGAATTAACACAATCAAGTATAAATATAGTCTAAATGGTTAAAGTATAAATATAATGATAAATCAGATCATAAATCTATAAAAATATTGTACATAGGTCCATAATTGACACAGTAAAATCAAATACAGTGATACAATTTATCAATCATATCAACAATAAGGGATGTTTAACTCTGATTGCTTCAATAGAAATGTGTTAGTTTCCCCAAATATTTTAACAAAAGAGGACTGAAAACAAATCTTTGTTACTGGACCAAAAACCTAATTCTCCTCCTCCAATAACCAATAACTTGGTAATTTAAGAAAGAACATGTGTGCACAATTATATATTTCTGTTGATTGGTAAGAAAAAATAACAACAACGGCATACCTTTGGAATCAGAAGCAGTCCAATGGTAACTGTTACAGTCAAGTGTGTATGTGCAAAAAACAGCATCAACATCCAATCAGACTGAAGTTTCGAGGCAAGAATAAATCTGAAAGTAGAATTTGGAGAGCTGGCATTTCATCTTTCTTTTTCAATGCATTAAATTTAAGAATCTTAATATTCCTGGAGATCATTTTTATATAAAGATCAAATATGAATAAGTTTGGCTTGCATAACTTTGGTACAGACTAAAGGTTACACATGTATGATAACTCCAAAGGACCTGAGAAAAAAAATGCAAATCTTAAACGATGTAGCCCACCATTTAATCTGACTCTACTAAGCCACATCTCCAGCTGGTATAAACTGTCACAGCTTCTTTGACTTTAGTTAATCTGTAGCAGTTTACATAAGGTGAGGATTGGACCTCCAGTTTTAAGTTATTTAATTATCATATTTATTTATACCACTTACAGTGCATTTCATAAATATTGGATGTTCCTAAATTGCAGTTACAGGAAAGGTCTGACAAGTTATAACATAGGCTATAGTAAAAACAGAGAACTAAACTGAAATACATTTTAATGTGGAACAGAAATGACCTTGATTGCAGGAGCTCCCAGCTGAATACTACAGGGCTTAACACTGGTACAAACTTCAGTAATTCAATAATAATTTAATATTTTTCTTTGTTTCTTTAAGAGTGGTTTAATAAGCACTGAAGTTAAAGCTGGCTGAAGCATGGTTTATCTGCATTTGTGAGTTACCAAAGATTTTAATGGTAAGCAATGAAATGGGTGAATAGATATGCCACTGGCTTGTAATTTGAAGGTTTAAAAAAAGTAGTACAAACAGAAACGGTATTGGCAAGCTCTTTAAAGTTAACTAGTATACACTGTCCGGGAACCATGTCCTTTTGTTAATGGTATTAGTCTGGCATGAAACCCTGTCTTACTTGTCATAATGATTTCAATGTAATTTGTTGTTTATTACACTGTAAGCATGCTGGTACAAGCACATGATAAATTATTATAAATTCTTCTTACCTAAACAGATGTTTCCACACTTAAATTTTAGAAGGGTTTTTTTTTCTAACACTTCAGTTGTCTTTTGGGATGTCAAGAGGCATTAAGAATCACTACCTGTAGTCATCCTTTAGTTTTATGCTAGTGTTGGTCCAAAAATCAGGAAAGTAAAAAACAACTGTTTATAGAATAAATATGTAGATCATGAGATATGGGGAACTATTTTTACACTGGCAGGAGTTGAGGCTAGATAAATTCTAGGCTTCTTTCAACTCATTTCTCTGATTTACACCACTTCCTTTCTCTCTCT